CCTTTTATTATTTTATAGTCGCATGTTTCAGAAAAAAATGCGTGCAAATCTACAATCCTTAGAAGTATATCATTGGCAGTACCAACTTGCTCTTGTGGAATTTACATGAGCGTTACCGATTTGATTTACATTGGATTTACTTCAGAAAGTTTGTTACCGAATTACATGTCTGCTCACTTTTGAGAGGATCTCATTTATTTATTTATGAATGAGAATGGGTAGACATGAACTCTTATTTCTAGTATGTTTACAGTGCTTCTCTGGCAATAAAAATGTTCTCTGGGACTTTTTAAAAATTTCAGTAAGATTTTTTTGTGATTAAATAGATGATAGATTACATTTACAGCTGTTTTTTTTTTTTTTTGCTTGACCCTGAGTTCTTTTGAGAAATTCATTTCCTATGGAACCTCCTATTGCTGAATAGTCCTGACCTCTTGGCCTTTCATAAGGCATTAAAGAGCAGGATGTTCCCTCAGGCATTTGGGCTGGGAACTTAAGTCCATCAGTATTAGTGAATTTGTTCTGGTTTTTATCAATTGAAATGAAATGATTTTTTAGACATCAAGCACATGTTATAGTATCAGTGCTATTTTAAATGAGTAGTTTTGGATGTTTTATATTTTGTGTATTGTTTATTTTTTAATCCTTTGTGTGTCATCCAGAGTCATTGCTATGAAATTGGTTGCTGCATAAATTGTTTAAATAAAATCAATAAATAATTCAAGGAGTGCTTTTACTAGTGGAATGCTGTTAGGTGATGATGATGATGATGATGGCCAGCTCTTCTTCCCCTCCTGTGCTTTAAATCCAGACATCTATTCTGGAACTTTTATGGAAAATCAAACCATTTTTCATGGGAACTGACTCCTGTGCAGGATATATTTGCGCTTTTGTAGCTGAAAGATGCTAGTATTATGAAAGCTTTCACGAATTCTGTAATGAGTAAGAAAACCAGTAGCTCTCCAGAAATTGCTGACTACACCTAGTATCCTTCTGCATTGGCTACGCTAGCTGAAGCTGTTGGGAGTTGTAGCTCATCAGTATCTGGAGGATGGTATATTTCATGCATTTTTTTAAAAGCATGATATCTTTGTTTTCTGAAACTCCACT